TTTTCTTTTCTTTTCCCTTTCCTTTCCTTTTTTCCTTTCCTTTCCTTCCCTTCTTTTCTTTCTTTCCTTCTTCCCTTTCCTTCTTCCCCTTCCCCCTTCTTTTCCCTTTCCTTTCCTTTTTTCCTTTCCTTTCCCCTTTCCTTTTTTCCTTTTTCCTTTCCTTCCCTTCTTTTCTGTCTTTCCTTCTTCCCTTTCCTTCTTCCCCTTCCTCCTTCTTTTCTTTTCCCTTTCCTTTTTCCTTTCCTTTTTCCCTTCTTTCTTTCCTTCTTTAACAACTTCTCCGCCCCAACAACGATGATGCAAATCACCTCTGCCCGGGTTGTTCAGCCACCCTCTGCTATCGTGGCTGGATTTCGTGGCTGAGCCTCCCCGGGTATGGCACCCCAGCCTTAGAGCAGCCTCCTAAGCCAAGGTTTCCTCGGAAGTAAATTTCCAGGGGCTGCTCAGGTGGATGGGAAACTGCCCTGAGGGATCCCGATCTTGGCCAGAACAACTTCTTATTCACTTTGGAGAAGTCCCGTTCCTCGCCTTCCCAATGCCTCCAATCAAATGAATCAAAGGATTCTCAATAAGAGAAAGCCCCCACTTTATTTTATTTTATTTATGTTTTATTTTTATTTTATTTTGCCAACGCTGATTTTTTTTTAAAAAGTTGCAGACATTGGAATAAGCAGTTCCCCATTTGGAGTTGTTCCATTGCAACCTTATATTCTCATCAAGGCGTTCAAATATATCCTCCTCCCGCTACTTTAAAAAACAAAGTCAAGTGTTGGCAAATAATAAAAGGGCTGCTTATTGCTACCCCTGTTGTTCAGGAACGCCTGCATTCTGTAGTAGGAAGCCGCTCTTTGGGAGGGCTTCATCTGTTGAATTTCTGCTTGTTTTGTATCTGCTTAAGAGCAGGGAGCAGTGGTGAGATTCAATTTTTTTTACTACCAGTTCTGTGGGCGTGGCTTGGTGGGCGTGGCAGGGGAAGGATACTGCAAAATCCCCATTCCCTCCCCACCCCACTAACCTGCTTTCCAGCTCAGTTCTCCTGTGTAGGGCAACCAAAGGAGACCCAGCGAATCACCTGAGACTCGGGAGGTGGAGAATAGATGGAGGTGGGGCCAGTCAGTGGTGGCATTTGCCAGTTCTCAAAACTACTCAAAATTTCTGCTACTGGTTCTCCAGAACTGGTCAGAACCGGCTGAATACCACCTCTGGCAGGGGTCCCCAAACTTGGCAACTTTAAGACTTGTGGACTTCAACATAGCCGGCTAGAGAATTCTGGGAGTTGAAGTCCACAAGTCTTAAAGTTGCCAAGTTTGGAGACCTCTGGGCTCCAAGGCAGCCGCAAGCCCTATTCCCCCAAAAGAAAAACAAGATGGCGTCAGGTTCCTGCAAGCCTCCCCACCAGGTGTGCTGTGAGAAAGTTTGCAATCTTTTGCAAACAACTTTTGAGGTCTTTTAAGTTTGTTCGAAAGATGTTTACACTGGGAGTCGGGGAAGGGGGGAATCTCTGGTTTTCCTCAAAGGATTAATGCAAGGAGATGGATTCCCATTTTTAATATGCTCATCCCCGAGAGTGGGACCAGACCAGAGCTTCCAGTTCTGGACTACTTAAAGAACTGGGATCCTGCAACTATCATGGCTTGAAGTGGGTAGCTGGTTGGAGGTGCTACCAGTAGTTTACAGATATAGGTAATCAGAGTTGGAAGGGACCTTGTAGGTCATCTAGTCCAACCCACCCCCTGCCTAAGCAGGAGACCCTACACCATTTCTGACAAATGGCAGTCCAATCTCTTCTTGAAAGCCTCCAGGGATGAAGCTCCCACAACTTCTGAAGGCAACTTCTGTTCCATTGGTTGATTGTTCTCACTGTCAGAAAGTTTCTCCTTATTTTCAGGTTAAACCTCTCTTTGTTCAGTTTCCATCCATTATTCCTTCTGTGGCCTTCTGGAGCTTTAGAAAATAGCTTGACCCCTTCCTCTCTGTGGCAGCCCCTCAAATATTGGAAGACTGCTATCCTGTCTCCCCTGGTCCTTCTCTTCATTAGACTATTTATTTTATTTTATTTATTTATTTTATTTGTCAAAAGCTTACAATATAACAGGAAACAAGAATAAACATAAGTTTAAGTACAAGAAATAGGAACTAATAATTGGGGACAATAGGACAGGGACGTAAGCACGATTGTGCGCTTATGCATTCCCCTTACAGACCTCTTAGGAATGGGGTGAGGTCAATAGAGGTTAGTTTGAGGGTAAAGGAGTGGAGGTTTGAGCAGGTGACAACAGAATCAGGTAGTGAGTTCCAGACATTGACCACTCTGTTGCTGAAATCATATTTCCTGCAATTGATTGGAGTGGTTTACATTTAGTTTATATCTGTTGTGCGCTCTAGTGTTGTTGTTGTTAAAGCTGAAATATTCATTAACTGGTAAGATGTTGTAACGTATGATTTTATGTACTATGCTTAAGTCTAATCTTAGTCGGCGTAGTTCAAAGTTGTCTAAGCCAAGAATCTCAAGTCTGGTGATGTAGGTTATTCTGTTGTGAATAGAGGAATGTAGTACTCTTCTGGTAAAATACTTCTGGAGTCGCTCAATTATATTTATGTCAGATATACAGTGTGGATTCCAGACAGCAGAGCTGAATTCAAGTATTGGTCTAGCAAAGGTTTTGAATGCCCTAGTTAGCAAAACAATATTACCAGAGGAGAAGCTTTGTAAAATTAAATTTACAACTCTTAAAGCCTTTTTGGCAATACTGTTGCGGTGAGCTTTGGTGCTTAGATCATTCGATATAGGAATTCCAAGATCCTTGACAAAGTGGGGGTCATCACTTAGCAACTTCCTGTTTTGAGCTTCCCCAAAGACGGACCGCCGGCCACGATCATGCGCAGCTTTGGTTCGTGCTTCGGTGCCGGAGAGCCCCAGTCCTTTGGATTCGGGGCAGGAGCTACCTCATAGGGTGGCAGAGGAAGGGTAGACTGTCAGCTGGGTAGAGGGGAGTCTCAAATCCCCTCCCCGGCTTGGCAATTGGTCTCTCCTGAAGACGCCTGAAGCGGTGGTCTAAAATTGCCACCCTGAAGAGGAAGATTAGACTGGAATAAGATTGTGCAGGAGAGAGAGAGAGAGAGAAGCGAACAGCAGGAGGAATGGGATGATGTAATCAAATGGAAGATACCCCCAGGATTAACATTTCAAAGAATCTTTAAGAAAGAATCTAAGCACCTAAGAGAAAGAGAAAAAAAAAGGTGTGAATTGCTTTTGATAGCATCGGGGCTTCGAAACCGCAAAAGGTAGAAGCTGGAGAAGGAACTATATAATCAACTTGGATAAGTATACTTTGATTTTATATTGGCACTAATAAAGCTGAACTATAGACTGTTAAAGAGGAAATTTAATATCAATGGGATTTTATCTTTTTCTTGTTGGAAACTTGTGGTTTTAAAAAGCTCTGAATAATAGAGAAGAAAAAAAGAAAAGAGGGGGTGAAGACTTAGCATAATAAAGAGTGCCATCTCAGTTAAACTCAAACTTGTTTTTCTTTTAAAAAACTCTTGTTTCTTGAAATTGCATGGAAATTGATACAATAAAGCAAGAACTTTGAAAAATTGAAAAATTGTAACAAAGAAAGAATTAGGAAGAATCTGCCTTTGGATTAGTTGCTGATTCTGACATGAATTTGGCACTGGATTAGCGGAGACTTAAAAACTTGAGAGGAAGAAAAGTTGCCTGTTGGAAATAAACTTTAAAGATACTATTTGGATTAAATTGCTAATCAGAAAGTTGTAAAATGGTGATTTATCTTCTGGCATTAAAAATGGAACTTAGAAAAATGAAAGAAACACTACAAGAATGAGGTGAATCGCTGGTTTTTGCTTTAAAATTTATTGAAAATGCGACAGCAGAATATGAACAACAAAGACAAAAGGCAGAAGAGGAGGTGAAGCAAATAATAGAAGAGACCATCTTTAGTGATCATCGAGAACCAAGAACTCTTGAAAGAAAGAAGAAAAGAGTTGGAAATAAATACAGGAGATTTAAGAAATTAAATAAAAAGGGGGAATATCCGAAGAATTAAAAAAGGGAAAAAGAGTCAGCAGAAATTCAAAGGGCAAAAGGAAGCTATAAATAGAGAGAGGGATAAAAACTGGAGTGAAAGAACAAAGGAGAAAAGACAGGGGGAAAGAAGGGACAAGAAACAGGATTTGGAAACAAAGAAATATGGGAATTGTTAAAAAAATGGGGAAATCCTTAATTGGACACAGAGATAATGGGTGATTATTATATAGAAAGGGGATTCTGCAAGGTATTGAGGGGTAATATAAATAAATTTATAGTTACAAAATAGGGACATATAGACTGACAAGATACTTGTCAATACTGTACCTGTCAACAGTGGTGTCCCCCAAGGCAGTGTTCTAGGACCAACTCTTTTCATATGCTACATAAATGACCTCTGTGATCATATTAAGAGCAACTGTGTTCTCTTCTCTGATGATGTAAAGCTGTTCAATACCACAGACAATACTGCTACCCTTCAAAAAGACCTCGACTGTGTATCAGAATAGTCAAACTAATGGCAACTTCAAATCTCAACAAATAAATGCTCTGTCTTACATATTGGCAAAAAAAAAAATCAGAAAATAAAATACAATCTGAATAGTCAAAACCTTGTTGATGATCCAAACTCTGTCAAGGACCTTGGAGTACTCAATCTCTAATGATCTAAGTGCTAGAGCCCACTGTAACTACATAGCCAAAAAGGCATTAAGAATTGTTAACCTAATCCTATGTAGCTTTTTCTCTGGTAATATCACACTACTAACTCAAGCATACAAAACATTTGCTAGACCAATACTCGAATACAGCTCATCAGTCTGGAACCCACATTACGTATCTGATATTAGCACAGTTGAGAAAGTCCAGAAATATTTCACAAGAAGAGTTCTCCACTCCTCTACTCGTTGCAGAATACCTTATGCCACTGGACTTGAAATTCTAGACCTAGAAAACCTTGAATTACGCCGTCTTCGGTCTGATCTAAGTATGGTATATAAAATACATTGCAATGACTTACCTGTCAATGAATACTTCAGCTTCAACCATAACAACACAAGAGCACACAACAGATACAAACTCAAGGTTAACTGCACCAAACTTGATTGCAGGAAATACAACTTCAGCAACAGAATGGTCAATGTCTGGAATACTCTACCTGACTCTGTGGTTTCTTCCCCAAACCCCCAAAACTTTAACCTTAGACTGTCTACTATTGACCTCACCCCTTTCCTAAGAAGTCTGTAGGGGGCGTGCATAAGCGCACCAACATGCCTACCACCCCATTCTATTGTTTCTTTTATTTTTCTTATATGTACCCATTTCATGTATTCATAACTATGTTTATACTTATACCTGTTATCTTGTAAGCAATTGACAAATCAAATAAATAAATAAAAAGATGGAAAAACAGAATTGTTATTTTTTGGATAATGGAATCTAATGCTCTTCCTCTTTATGTAGAGAGATAATTGTAACAAATAATGGAATAAGTATATTAGATATATTGAAATATTCTTAAGATTGGAATGTTGGCTTTTTTGGTTTAAATATGAATGGAATAATTAATGGAATATGTGTATTAAATATATGGAAATAAATGAAATGATATAGGAGGAGAGCTGAAATGGAATTAACTTTAGGGCTTAGGATTGTTTTACTGTTTGAATGAGTAGGTTAATATGTCCTTTTGTGGGGGAGGGAAATTTAACGAAATTTAAAAGGAGAAAAATCATGCAGAATCTGATTTATATATGCTATGTTGTTTTAAAGGGATTATTAAGTTTAATGTTTTGGGTGATGTTAAATGTTTTAACAAGATTTAAAAGGGGTGAAAATAAATGAATTTATAATTTAGAGGTTGGCGCACTTATATTGAGATTTCAGGGGGAAAACCAATTTATAGAAGAAGTGCCTTTTTAAAAATTAGAATTTAAGATGAAATATACAAATGTGACAGTTAAAAGTACTAAAGTATAATGATTATGAAGTTATCATAAGTGAATTAAATAATGAGATAAATATTTGGAATAATACAATAAAGTAGAAAATGTATAAAAGCACTGGTAAGATAAGGAATTGGATATAAAAACTGAATATGTAACCATAGTCATATTTGTATGTATATGTGAAACCTGTAATCATGCTGTTCACTAAAAAGAGACGTTAAAATATGGAAAACTGAATAAAACTTGTTTTAAAAAAAAAACACAAGATCATGGCAAGACTAGCCATGCCCAGTTTCTGCAACTATTCATCGTATGTCTTAGTCTCCAGTCCCCTAATCATCCTGGTTGCTTTTCTCTGTACTTTTTCTTGAGCTTCAACATCTTTGTTGCTATGTTGCTAGTTGCCGCAACATTTGGACTACTGTATTCCCTGTCTATTCCCACCTAGTGTAAAACCCCTTGAATTGGAAAGTGGCAGTAATAGGGTTTCAAAGGACAGGTAGGGCCAGAATATTTTGGGCTATGGTATTTATTAGGTTTATAATTTATATTTATTAGATGCTAACTCCTAAAATTGACAGTGAGATGAGTGGAGATACATTTAATAAATCTATAAATAAAATAAAAAATAAAAATTTAATCAGAAAAAACATGGAAGGCTGCTTCTGATTTTTGCCCTCTTCTGTATTATTATGGTTTGCTACACAGCCAGATGTTTAGATTGGATTTGGCATTTATATCCACCTGCTGAATCCCTTCCAAGGACCCGGATGGGCAGATGTTTTTTGGCCATGTTAAAGGTGCAGGATGTACGTTGTTTCAAGTAAAGCTGCCTTTTGCACTTGGCTGATGGTGATTTTGTATTATTAGTACAGGTAATCCTCGACTTACGACCACAACCGGTCCCAAAATTCATGTTGCTAAGTGAGACATTTGTGAAGTGAGTTTTGCGCCATTTTACAACTTCGCTTGCGACAGTTGCTAAGTGAATCATTACAGTTAGGTTAGTAACTGAGTTGTTAAGTGGCTTCTCCATTGACTTTGCTGGTCAGAAGAATGCAAAAGTTGATCCCATGGCCCTGGGACACTGCAACTGTCATAAATTTGAACCAGTTGCCAAGTGTCTGAATTTTGATCACATGACCATGGGGAGGTTGCAACAGTCTTAAGTGTGAAAAATGGTTGTAAGTCTTTTTTCCGAAAGTTATAATGTCAGGATTCTGGCAGTTACACACACCACCACCCCCATTTAAATCATGAGTCTCAAGCCAAACTTCCAGAGCTTCAAAAGGATTTATTGGGAGTTAACATGTCCGGCACTGCCTGGGTGTAGCCGATTTTGAGGCACATAATTCATTGTCACCCTTGACCCTGGTTTTCCCCTCACCCCCCGGGTGTATCATAATTCCTATTCTCCAATGGGATTTCTATGGTCTTATTAGAGTTGCCGCATAATATGATTTGATGTTGGGTGAACATAATATCCGTTGGGTTCACACAACGCTTCAAGCCATTAAGCCATTGGTATGAATCCTAAACCATCATCAATCAGTGCCTTACAGTATTAACCTGATGCAGTAAGGCTTCTGAACTTGGAGCTCTCCAGATGTGCTGCACTTTAATTCCAGAATCCCCAACCAGGGATGTTCAATAGGTGTGATGCAGGTGTAGGTGCACCGGCAGCAACAGAAGGGGAGGATTGTGCTAGCTCAAAATTTCACCAGGTAGAGATCAGGGATCAGGCAACAGTGTATTTGCAAGCTGGAAAGAGGTTCAGAATAACTAGATCCTTGAATCTCTCAGGGTGTCTTTAGCTTAGAAAGTGATAGCTTTAGTTTGGCAAGGTTCTGTTTACAGCATTGGGTGTACGCAAATAAAGGATTGGATTCAGTTGGATCTCACTGTCTCAAGGCTTGGGCCTGACAATAGGACACTTAATGCAGGTATAATTGAGTAAGGGAGGCTAATAGGCAAACCTGTAAGTATGTAAAAGTAAAGGTTGCCTCTGTCCAGTTGTGTCCGAGTTTAGTGGTTGGTGCTCACCTCTGTTTCTTAGCGGAGAGAGCCAGCATTGTCTGAAGATGCTTCTGTGGTCATATGGCAGCATGATTTTATGCTGAGGTGCAGGGAGTGCTGTTACTTTCCCATCGAAGTGGTACCTATTTAACCAATTGCATTTGCATGCTTTTGAACTGCTAGGTTGGCAGGAGCTGGAGCAAGAATGGGAGCTCATCCCATCATGCGGCGTTTGGGTCTCAAACGGCCGACCTTCCAGTCAACGAGCCCAGTGGGTATATGTGTTAATGCTTTTGGGGTGGAGAGAGACTCTCTTCTTAAAACCGCGTTCTTTCCAATGCAGGTCTTATTCAGGAGTCTCAGGAAAGGACTTCCACGGTTCCGTGGTTGGCTTTGTACCTGGCCTCTCTTCGCTCGAGCTGGACCTCAAAGGAAACCTGCACTGTCACTCCAGCTGGGCATCCAGCAATGGCAACAATGCTGACCAAAAGCGAGCTCGTCGGAAGCTTTACCTCGCTTCCGTCATCTGCTTGATCTTCATGACAGGGGAAATTGTAGGTAGGTGTCTATCATTTTGAAGGCTCTGCGAGGTCCTTATAAGCCACTCTTGGGAAGACAGCTGATGGTTGGCGTGAGCCAGTGGCATTTAGGGCAAAGGGATACAAATTGTTGGTGGAGTTGACCTTGGGGAAAAACCGCAAGAACCTAGAGAGAAAAGAGGCTGAAATGTTTTATCAATCCTGGGAAATGAGATGATGTGCTGAATTGATTGACACCTCTTTAATTCACTGGAGAATCAGAAGGGGGAGGGTTTGGCGGCACGATCACATTGGCAAGATTCTGAGGTTAGCCATGATGGCACAGTGGTTAAGTGCAGTATTGCAGGCAAACTCTGCCCACAGTCTGGAATTTGATCCTGACTGGCTCAAGGGTTGATTCCACCCTTCCAAGATTGGTAAAACGAGGAGTCAAATTTTGGGGGGCAAGATGTAAATAATGATTCTATGTTGTAAACTGGCCAGAGAGTACTTTAAAGCGGGGGGGGGGGGCTCCAACCATGGCAACTTTAAGACTTGTGGACTTCAACTCCCAGAATTCCCAAGCTGGCTGAGGAATTCTGGAAGTTGAAGTTGCCAAGGTTGGAGACCCCTGCTGTAAACCACTATGGGGCAGTATATAAGCCTAAATGCTATTGCTATTATACCCAATCTCAATAAAAGTAAGTTTAGCCTTCCTGTGGGATTGAATTTCTGGCCTGGTTCACCTACTGCAGGGGTGGGGATGATGGGCCTTTTACGACTCGTGGACTTAATCTCCCAAAATGGCTGGCTCAGGAATTCTGGGAATTGAAGTCCACAAGTCATAAAGGGGCCATTGTTCCCTACCTCTGACTTAGTGGGTGTAACAGACATTCCTGAGATCATGTCTGCTATGATCTGCATTGAGCAAGCATGCTGCTGTCTTGAAATGCTCCAGACATGCAGAAATCTAGCGTGGCAGGGAGAAAAGCTAGGAAGAAGAATCTGGACACAGCCCATAACTCTCTTTAATCTCTCCAGGAGGGTATTTTGCACACAGCCTGGCCATTATGACCGATGCAGCCCACCTGTTGACTGATTTTGCTAGCATGATGATCAGCCTTTTCTCTCTGTGGATGTCGTCTCGACAGCCTACTAAAACGATGAATTTTGGATGGCACAGAGCAGGTAATCGGGACCATTTTTTTAAAAAAAAAAAGCATTAATGGGGCACTCTGTGAACCAGCACATCTCCTTAAGGGCGAAATATAATTTTGTAGAATGGCTGCCATATGAACAAATGAGCCCCAAATTTCCCTGGTTAAGACACAAGTGAGTTTTGCCTCATTATATGGCCACAACTGTTAAGTGAACCTCTCTAATTATTAAGTGAATCATGTGGTCATTAAATGAATCTGATTTTCCCCTTTGAATATGCCGGAAGCTGGTTGGGAAGGTTACAAATATGATTGCATGACTCTGGGACAGTGCAACTGTCATAAATACATGCCAATTATGATCAGTGACCGTGGAGATATCGCAACATTTGTTAGTGTGAAAAAAGGCCATAAATCTCTTTTTTCCAGTGTCGTAACTTTGGACAGTCACTAAATGAATGGTTGTAAGTCAAGTATTACCTGCATTTATAATCCAAGCCCTCCTTTTCCCATTTCGAGGAAATTTCCTACCCACGTCTACCTGCGGAGCCCAACTGGAAAAACTTGGTTTCTTTCTGAATGGAAAGCAGCGCAGGTTTGTGAAGATGTTTTCTCTGTTTCCCGATTGGGCCTTCCAGCCTGCGTTGTTCCTCTCTGTTCACTCACGAAGCACATTTTAATTGGATTAGCTACATTTTCCGGCATCTGCCTTTGCCCTGCGGGCTAACCTTTAAGCTCAGTTACCTTGTAGATTTAGTGGGGTGGATGAATTTAGGAGGCTTGACAGGTGTAGAGTTCTGTGCAGAAATAGCCAGGGTTAATGTGTTGTGTGAACAAAACCTGTATTTTTTTCTCTTGGCACCTGCTCAGCTTGCTAGGGTGGCATATTGCCAACCTTCAATTACACCGTTGCTGTTGACTTCTCAGTACAGACAGTGACTTTGTTTGAGTTCCTTGGCTTCCTCGTACTGTTGTCTTCAGTTCCTTGTCTCCAGTTCTTTGTCTTTATCTTACCTGGAGTTTTCTCAAGCTGATCTATCGCCAGTGATCCAGCCAGAGGTTTTTGCCTAGATTTTAATCACACACACACACACACACACACACACACACACACACACACTTTGCAGGTACTTAGTGCCTGAACTGCAACAAAAAACGGACCATTAATCCTTAGTGATAGTAGCCACGATTTTAGTTTAATTCCCGGTCTCCCTCTTGCTCAGGAACTTCCTTTAGCAGATCTGTCCCCAGGGATCCAGCCAGCTCCCTGAATTTGATCTGGATACTCTAATCACAAATACACAAACCTACGATGTAGGAACTTTAGTGCAGGAGTTCCCAACCTTGGCAACTGTAAGACGTGTGTACTTCGACTCCCAGAATTTCCCAGTCAGCTTTAGTGACTGAACTGCAGCACAATCGGTCACTGGTCCTTTAGTTCCAGCTGTCCCTTGGACTCTTAACCTTCCTAAGAGACCAGTGCTGGCACTGTAGTTATTGGCTGAAATAAAGATGCCTTCAAATCTCAGAATTTGTATGCAAGGATGTGTGCGAAACTTGTCAACCAATACTTTAATTTGTCTCTTTTAACACAACTCTCAGTTGATGTGTAGTTGAACTCAGCATAGCTCCTACGTTCCTTATTATAGAGTTTAGGGGGAAAACTAGAAAAATGTAAACATATTGTCTTCCTTCCTTCCTTCCTTCCTTGGTCAAGACACAGTAGCTGAAAACTCAAAGCTATCCTATAAATTTTATTAATATCGTTTGTTAAGCTTTGGCTTCTTGTGAAGACTGAATCAATTGTGGTTAACTGCATAATACCACAGTTAACTGCATAAAAGCTGAACCCAACCAAGATCACAATGGAAGCCATCTGCTCCAATATAGCTGGGCTGAAATGAATCCATTGCTCTTTCATTTAATTGACAGAATGAGCCGATTTGTTGAAAGAACATTTAGTTCATGAGTATTTGGCAGAGGTGCCCTTTATTAATTATGCCTTGGGTGAGTGAGTCAGCATGTGCCAACTTGGGAGTTTTCCAACCTTTCATGCCTAACCAAAGATTTTTGACTTTTGCTGCAGAGATTTTGGGAGCCCTGGTGTCCGTTCTCTCAATCTGGGTGGTAACTGGCGTGCTAGTTTATCTAGCAGTGCAGAGACTGATTTCTGGTGACTATGAGATAGAAGGAAATGCCATGCTTATCACTTCTGGCTGTGCTGTGGCTGTAAATATCATGTAAGTAAGATTACATCAGGATAATTTTTGAACAATGTCCTAAAACCCCTAAGAAAAACTTGGAGTTTACCAGCTGATGGACTCTCATCCTGGCGATACAGATAGTCCTCGACTTACGACTACAATTGACCCAACGTTTCGGTTGCTAAGCGAGAGATTTGCTAAATAAATTTTGCCCTAATTTACAACCTTTCTTGACACAGTTGTTAAATTAAAGTTGTCAATTAAGCTACCCCAAAGGTGCTTTTTTCAAGAGGCAACTGGACTTTCTGGGTTTTCTTTGAAGACGTTTCACTTCTCATCCAAGAAGCTTCTTCAGCTCTGACTGGGGTGGTGGGGAATGGAAGTATTTATACTCTGCAGACAGCTGGTCATTTGCATTCTGTTAGCAAGTCCTTAAGGTCACCTGGAGGTTTATCTGTGTCATCAGGGTCATCTAGTCCAGTGGTTGCCAACCAGTGGGCCAGGGACCACTGGTGGTCCGTGAGAAAATTTTGGTGGTCCGCAGAGAAATGTCACCCCCAAAGCAATTAATCCAGGCTGCGTGGGAACACAAAGCTGCGCCGCCCACGGGAACACAAGGCTTGTGCCGCTTGCATTGCAAACAACACAAGGTAGTGAAGGGAGGGGGGAAAGGGCAGAAGGGGGGGGAACTTGCCCCACTCATCCCACGCACCTGGCCACCGGGCTGCTTCTTCCCACTTCTTTCTTCTTCTGCTTTTGGCTGCATGCAAGGAAAGCAGCAAAAGTCTTTCTTTCTTTCTCTCCCCCAAACGCTGCCAGAAATGAGTCTTTGGGACCCTGCAAGGCCTCCTGCTCCAAGAGGCTGCGCTGGTGCGACAAGTCTCACAAAGACTCATTTCTGGTGGAATTGGGGGGAGAGAAAGGAAGACTTCTGCTGCTACTGCTGCTTTCCTTGCACGAAGCCAAAAGTCTCTTTCTCTCTCTCTCTCTCCCACTGTGAATGGAGCTGGAGACGGTATCCTGCAATCCCAAATAAAGAATGATCAATCGGTAGGAAAACGGGGTGGGGAATTTTCCTGCAGACTTTTTGGGGGATTTTCCCATGGTCTCTGGTCCACGGGATTTAAAATGATGAGTTTGGTGGTCCCTGAGGTCCAAAAAATGATTTAAAATGATGAGTTTGGTGGTCCCTGAATCTAGTCAGAGCTGGAGAAGCTTCTTGAATGAAAAACAAGAAAGTCCAGTTGCCTCTTGCAAAAAAGCACCTTTGGAACAACCATGACCTGGATGGCTGAGAATCTCCCTAGAGATTCAGTTAAGTTAGTAACATAGTTGTTAAGTGAATCTGGCTTCCCAATTGACTTTGCTTGTCAGAAGGTCACCAAGGCTGATCACATGACCTCAGGAAACTGCAACGGTCATAAAAATGAGTCGGTTGCCAAGCATCTGAATTTTGATCACATGACTATGGGGATGGTGCAACGGTCGTATGTGTGAAAAATGGACATAACTCATTTTTTCCCAGTGCCGTTGTGACGTTGAAAGGTCAATAAATGAATTGTTGTAAGTTGAGGAACTACCTGTACATGGAAGCTTCTTTGTGGATGGGCCAAATAGAGGGTTCTCTTTGATCTGCTTGGCATTTGAAAGGCTCTTGATTCCATGCTGCTAAAATAATTGGGTGGGAGTAGAAGTATTTGCCAGAAACTCTGTCACAGGCACCTTTAGTGCATTTCTGGAGATCAACCTTAGAGTCTGCCAAACTCCCTGTTTCTCCTGATGGTTTTAAAACTCTTTTATTTGAAAAAAAAAAAAACAAGCTAGAAGGTTAGTAGACCTGAAAAGCAAAGCTTCGCCTCCCAACGCTGCTATCAGCTGCTTTTGGTGCCTGCAAAAAAATAAAATAAAATAAAAGAATAGGTGGCTCAGTGCTTTGTTTAGAAATCTGCATTTTCTCGAACCAAAGACAAACTGCCTATCTGCACGCACACGCACACACCCCGCAAAGGAGCCGGAAGCAAGGAAAAAAGCACATTAAGGAACTTGGATCGGTTTCACCTCTTTGTGGTGCCAACCTGGATCTGAATTTCTGCCATTGTATTGTGCCCCTCCCCAGCCCAAATCTCCACTGAAGTGAGCCACAATATATATATTTTGTGGTACAGAACATGAATTACAGTAACTGGCAAAGAATTAAAGTTCTCTCCTCCCCCCCCCCATTCTACAGTAGGGTCCTAATCTGGTGATAGACATTTGTGAACAGGAAACCCTTTGCGCCTGGACAGAACTGCAGAGCTGAGATATGTTCTGACCAAGCACTGGACTTTTTCCCTTCAACCGAAAAGAATGAACTTCTGAAAGCTAGATATTTCAGAAGGAATCCTTTATTGAAAGTGAGTGATTCCCAGCACTACTCAAAGCAGAGTATAAGACGTTTCCAGGCATACAGAAATAGATAAGGGGAGTTAGAATCCCTCCCCTTATTTAAATGTGGATTTAGTCAAACAAAGAACCAACAAGTTAATTCCCCTCTCCCCTTCTCTGGGAACATATCTTAGGAGAGTTCCCAGGGGTATCTTCTAGAGCTGGAATTTTTATGGTCCCTTCTCATCTTGTTATCTCTTCAAGAGGTGACAAGTTTCTAAACATCCGGCTCCAATCCTCCAGTTGTATATCATGTGCAAGTTATACAATATATCAGTATAAGATTTAATATATTCAGGCTACATCAAAAAGGATTACTTGTACCAACTCCCCCCCACTTCTTCTTCCATTGAAGAATGGCAGATACATGGATCTGACACTTCCTGAGACAGTAACAATCACTTGCTCTTCCCAAAAACCATTTTTTTTATTTCAACGGCTGTGCATTATATGCATTCACAGCTCGTAATGAGTCCCAAACAGTTTATGAATAGTCCAACAGAAGTCTGCCATAGTCTTTCGGGATAAGGTTGATAAGCACTCGCCTTTATCTCCCTTGAAATGCTGCCAATGACTAAATTGCCAATTAGCTGTACAAGGCCAAATGGAGCACAAAGTTAACACGGAGCTTCAGATTTTAAACCAACCAGAATGAACAAAGTTGCTTCCTGCAAAGGCTCATGTCCCTTTGCTTTTCCTTTATGTCTTATGGGAGGGGCCGATCACCTCCAAACCTTACTCCTGAGTCGCCCCTTTTGTCTTAACTGTTCTTGCCTTCTGGCAGCTCTGCACAAGCGCGTACTGGGAACAGGCTCCCCCTGTTCCTCTGCCTCACTGATGTCATATTCTGACTCTCAGATGGTCCTGGCCCCAACTGTGTTGGACGCAAATCCCTCATCTGAACCCTTCCCAGACTCCAGGACTAACCCATGTTCCTCCCCACTGTCCAACTCTGCTGCCAGCTCCACAGATAATTTGTATAGGTATTAATTGACTTCTTTGGAAGGTGACTAACAAGCAAGGACTGGAGTGCTTAACCCCAGACATGTCATTAGAAGGCAAAATCACGAAACTGTGTCTCACTTATTTTGGCCATGACATGCACTGGAATTCACTTAGAGTGGTGTGGTGGCCTAGAGGTGGAGCTCTCGCCTCACAATCAGGAGGCTGTGAGTTCGATCCTAGGTAGAGGCAGATATTTATCTCTCTGAGCACACTGCAAGTATATCTGCTGAACAAAACTCTGCATTGGCAACAGGAAGGGCATCTGGCCATTAAATACTCTGCTAGCGCCATTCAGTTGCCTAGACCTGACCCCACAAGGGATTATGGGGTCGTTAAATGAAGATGATGATGCGGGGAATTCACCGGAGAAAGCAATTATGTTTGGAGGAGTTAATGGTAAAAGGAAACCAGGCCACCAAAGAACACAATGGCTGAACACCATCAAAGCTGACACCAACCAGAGCATAGAAAAACTCAAAAGAAGTAGTGCAAGATGGAAGATGTGGCCCATAGAATCGCCAAGAGTTGGTTGTCATTCCTGTCTTATGACACAATTGGAACAACAATGTCTGTTGCTGAGTGAAAGTAGTCATTAAAGTGAGTCACGACCACTTTTAGTATTGTCGACGTCCTTAAGTGACTCACCCAGTAAGAACCAAATCTGATTTCCTCATGATTTGCTGGCTGGGAAGGTGACAGATGGTAATTAAATGACCCTGAGAAGCTTCAACCATCACACTTACTAGCCAGTTGCTAAGTGCCTGGATCACGATTGTGTGACCATGGGAACCCTGAGACAGCTGTAAGGGCGAGGACTGGTCGCAAGTCACTTTTTAAAATCACTGTCACCACTTTGATTGGTTGCTAAGCAAATGTTCTACCTGTAAGGACTACCTGTGATTTATCCCTAACCTTCACAAAGGACCCTTGTTATTGATTGATTGATTGATTTAACAGAATCACAGAGTTGAAAGGGACCCTGGGCATTTTCTAGTCCAGCGGCCCACAACATTTTGGGCACCAGGGAATAGTTCTGTGGAGAAAGGTTTTTCCATGGACCAGAGGGGGCGTGGTTTTGTGTGCTGCCTGACTACTGCAGATGGGGCTTTGTGTGTTTGCACAGACCGCCTGCTGGCGTGCCGTGGCCCCAGGGACTGGGAGTTGGGGACCCCTGTTCTAGTCTAATCCCTTGCTCAAGCAGAAAACCCTATATCAGGAGTGTCAAACTCAAGACCCGCGAGCCAGATCCAGCCCATGGGTGCTTAGATCTGGCCCATGGGGCCATCCTGGAAACAGTGAAGGACCGGCTCGCGGTGCCTCTGCCAGTGAAAATGGAGCTTGTGAGGGCAGTGCAAGCTCCGTTTTTGGCTGTGACAGCCTCCTGAAACCTTCTGCCAGCGAAAACGGAGCTTGGGAGGGCATGCAGCCCTCTCGAGCTCCGTTTTCTCTGGAAAGCGCTGGGGCCACCACAGATGCTCCCCACACCAGCGACATCGAGTTGGCCATGGCCAACCTGGCCAAGTTGTGGTTAGCCGGCAGCAATGGGGAGGAGGTTCCCGAGGAGCCTGTGCTAAGTGCAAGTGAGAGCAGGATGATTCATAGAAGAGCAACACAGGCGACTCGGGAGTAAGCATGCTAATTAATGTGCCCTCCCTCCAGGGAATATCAGCCTGGTTTCAAAGGGTTTTTGCTATGTAGAAGGCAAAAAACACTCTAAGGATCAACATTGTGGAGACTCCAGCTTATCTGAAGAATTCTGTCAAGGTTTTTCTGGTTGGACTAATTGGCTGCAAGCCATCTTTTATCTACAAAGAAGTTATTTGTAGATTAAAGCTGTAAAGGTTTGAGTTACTGAGTTGGTCTCTGGGAACATGGTTGGGTCAGAACACCCCCAACGAGGTGGCCCTCAATGAAATCAAATTTGATGCCCCTGCCCTATACCATTTCAAACAAATCCAGTCTTTTCTTGCTTGTTTGCTGCGTGGCACAAAAAAGAATGCCAACAATAAAAATAACAAATCCTCCCACTCTTTTTAAGCCCCAAAGCCAAACAACCTGGCAGTTCCCCTTCTAAGCAAGGGGACAAGTTTGATCAAAGCCTATGCTCTTATATTCTCTTTCTGGTTTTGTTTCTTCACCTCAGACAGTCCTCAGTTAAACCCTGGAGAGCAACTTTGTCTGGTGCATAGGTGTCTATTTGATTCCTAGTGAGATTGCACTCCCCTTCTGTTTATGAATAACAAATAGAGGTAGTCTCCTTGACTTAAAACCATTTGTTTAACGACCGTTCAAAGTTACAAAGGCACTGAGAAAAGTGACTTATGATCGTTTTTCATCCTTATGACCATTGCAGCATCTCCATGGTCATGTGATCAAAATTCGGATGCTTGGCAAATGGTTCATGTTAATGCCGGTTGTGTGTGTGTGTGTGTGTGTGTGTGTGTGTGTCTCGGGGTCATGTGATCAGCTTTGGCGAATGGGGAAGTCAGATTCACTTAACAACCATGTTACTAAGTTAACTGCAGCAATTCCCTGAAGAGCTGTGGCATGAAAGGCTGTAAAATGGGACAAAACTCAACACCTTGTCTCACTTAGCAGCAGACATTTTGGGATCAATTGTGGTCGTAAGTCTAGGACTACTTGTATCCCAACCCAATCATGGATAGCTTTCAAACTCATGGGGTCACTTTGGCACTTTTAGGATGTGTGGACTTCAACTCCCAGAATTCCCCAGTTGATGTCAGTGTTCCAACGAGTATCCATTCCAGCCAGTAACTCCAAGACAACCATAATCTCAAAGTACTTTTATTAGAATAGAAACTTGGCACCTTTGTGGAATTCCAAAACTAAAGTTTCCCTCCGGACTTCCCAAAAGGACGCAACCTACAAACTATCCCCTTTTTTCCACATCATACATCACATGAACCAATCCCCCTTCAGTCCCAATTCTTCGTGTGCCATTCACAATGGCCTTGAATTACTAAAGAATTTATTTTGTCTACTGAGAGCTACTCCAATAATATCAGCCCCCTCCATTCCTCCACCGCTATGTGGCAGCTTTTAATAATGATTCCAAAGCTGACAGTTGAAGTCCAGGCATTTTAAGTTGCTGAGGTTGATAAGCCCTGATCTGGAGCAATTTATCCTCAGATGGTTTTCTCTGCCTTTCATTTGGCCTGTGCCTTTGTTGCAAAATGGGATGGGATGTGTGTGAGCAGCCAATGTCATCTTCTCCAGACGACATCATCATCATCATCATCATCATCATCATCATCATCATAACAACAACAACAACAACAACAACAAGTGTCAGTGCCTGGAGACAGCAGAATAGAAGAGAAAGAACTGGAGAAGGTCACAAGATACACAAAGACATACAAATAGAAATAGAACAACTATGGCAAAGGCAAGCAAGGGTAGTACCAATCCTCAAACACGCACCTCACCCACCAAAATTCCCTGCCCCCTAAAACACAGAAGCATCCACTCAACAGACCAAGTAATATTGTCCAACAGCTCACTGATGGTGGTCCTTAAGTTCATTGTTAAGTGCAATTATAGCTCTGGGATAAAAACTGTTTTAATTGTTCTATATCTTCAGCCAGAAAGCAACAGTTCACAAAGATTGTGAGCAGGATGGGAAGAGTCTGAGAATGTTGTGTGACTTCCTCAAACAGCGAGACGCGAAGATGTTGTCCAGGGCTGATAGCTGGAGCCTGATGATATTCTGGGCAGTTTTTAATTATTCTCCGTAGAGCTTTTTTGTCTTACTCTAATGTTTTGTTCTTACTATAATGGCTGCTTCTGTGGAGAGTGAATGTAGTGTGGGCAGAAACAGGTTCAGGGTGAAATGTCCTCCTTAAGTCTTGGATAGTAAGCGATGAGGAATGCCTTAATGGCAAGAGGAGTTAGGAATGTGTAACATTTTTCTTGTCTTAGCTTAAAAATATTCATTTATTCGTTGGCATTGCTTGCTGAAAGGTCAAGATAAAATACCTGGGGAACGTCCCTTCATTTTATGTCAGTGAGGTATGTTGGACAGAGAGAGGGAGGTACAGTACGTTCCGAGATTGACTGGGGGCAGAGGGAATGGCTTTGGAGATAGGAGGAAGAGCTGCTACCAAGGCAACAGTCAGATCAAAGCCAAGAATGTAATGTGAGTAAACATCTCAGACTTGCCTAATACTTGAAGATAAAGGGAAGGAGGGGGAAACTGCAATCAGACTTGAAAAATTGTGCAATTGTAACTTTATGAAGGTAGTCCTCGACTTACAACTGTTTGTTTAGTGACTGAAGTTACAATAGCACTGAAAAAAGTGACTTATGACCGTTTCTCACACTTTCAACCATTGCAACATCTCCATGGTCATGTGATCAAAATTCAGCCGCCTGGCAATTGACTCATATTTATGATGGTTGCAGTGTGCCAGGATCATGTGATCAATCCCCTTCTGACAAGCAGCGTCGGTGGGGAAGCCAGATTCACTTAACAACTGTGTTAAACTCAGAAAGTTGGATGTGTTTGTTTGTAGTCCTCTTGAAGAGGTATGCAGAGCATCTAATTGAAGAACGGGATTGTCACGGAGGAAAAAATCATGTTATTCACTTAACAACTGTGGCAAAGGTCGTAAAATAGAGCCAAATCCATATAACAAATGTCTTGCTTAGCAACAGAAATGTTGGGCTCAATTGCGGTCATAACTCAAGGACTACATGTAGTAAAAGTACCACTGACCAAATCTCCTAGTACCTGGTCAATCTTTAAAAAATGACATTTTCTTGGTTCAGTTCCAGCCTCTTAATTAATGTTCTGTTTACAACTAGCACTTTATTAATATCTTTCTATAGGATGGGCATTATCTTACACCAATCAGGACACGGTCATAGCCATCACAGTCACAAGGAGGGGACGCAAAATACTAGCGTGCGAGCTGCATTTGTCCACGTAGTTGGAGACCTTGTGCAAAGCATTGGAGTTTTGGTGGCTGCTATCATAATCTACTTCCAGGTAAGAGTTCCAACAGGGATATCATTATTATTCTTTCCTCTCGATCATAGAATAGGGCCCCAACATTTTTATGGGACTACCAGGTTCCATCGTTCCTTGTGATCTTGATTAGTGGATCACACGTTTAAAGCAAGAAGTGGAAATATGTATAAAACTAGTTAAGTCAAACTCATTCATCCTGTTGGATTACTGAAGAGTTTTGAGGCTGCCGGGGACTTCATTCCCACACCTTAATTTGAGGAAGGTAGGGCAAAGGTCTCCAAACTGGGCAACTGTAAGACTTGTGGACTTCAACTCCCAGAATTTTCCAGCCAGCATAGCTAAGTCAAGGACTACCTGTAGCCATTTTGTTATCATATTTGGGCAGTGTGGATATGACTGCTGAAATGTCACAAATAGGATGCTGCACGTGGCCTACTCCCTGATTTAAAAGAAGGTAATGACTGTCAAATCTTCAGCTTGGTGCCTCGCTGGCATTCTGCCACCCCTCTTGGGAAGCAGAGGGCGGGGAGAGGAGAGGAAACAGGCCAGGGGTGTCAAATTTGCACCATTACATGACATATCGTGACTTTTCTCCCCATAGCTGGCTAAGGAATTCTGGGAGTTGAAGTCCACAAGTCTTACAGTTGCTAAGTTTGGAGACCTCTGGGCTTGACGGAAACCAGAGGTTGAGAACCAGCTTATTCCAGTCCTCAGGGAGGCGGAGACTGAGAAAGGAATGCAAATTGCACCAAACATACAAGCCATTCCCAAAACACCTATGTGGCATGCAATTGGTCAAGGAGGGGCCAGCCAAGGGTGGAGGAGGGCCTGGACAAAAGGGAAAAGTTTGTAATCTTTTGCACGGGAACTTCAGTTCCAGCCTGCTTTGTTTGCAACCACTAATTCTCAGTCAAAGAACTGTATCATGTCAACCAAATGGAGTTGAGAGTCGTTCTTACTTAGGAATCCAGCTGTGACAAGCCTGACATTGACCCTCCCAGTGGTGGGATTCAAATTTTACTACCGTTTCTGTGGGTGTGGCTTGGTGGGCGTGGCAGAGGAAAGATATGTAAAATCCCCATTCCCTCTCCACCCCGCTAACCTGCCTTCCAGCTCCGTTCTCCTGTGCAGGGCAACCAGAGGAGACCCAGTCGATCAGCAGAGGCAGAGAATAGATGGGGCAGAGCCAGTCAGAGGTGATATTTGCCGGTTCTCCAAACTACTCAAAATTTCTGCTACTGATTCTCCAGAAATGGTGAGAACCTGCTGAATACCACCTCTGGACCCTCTTGTTCCTACGCAGACATCCCCTCTGTGGTAGAGTTGAATTGAATTATTGAATACTAGAATTGAATTATTGAATTATTCAATAGTTGAATTCAATAGTTGAATTATTTAATACTAAAGCAGAACCGGAAGCCGCTGGCTGTCCAGAGGAAGTTAAGGAGGTTATGATTTCTGCTCTTTCTAGCCATACTGACTGGAGGCCAAGCCCAACATTAGGAGGGCCATGGGTGCTTCTACCCTAGGGTAAGAAAGAATGCTGCAAGTAGACGTCGGCTGTGACTCACTGATGACATAATTGCCAAGCCAGATCTTAGAAAAGGACTCGACTCTTGAACAAAGAGAAGACTCATGGGTTATTTTCTTCTTTTTTTCTAGCCAGAATATAAATACGTGGATCCTATCTGTACCTTTGTGTTTTCCATCCTGGTCCTTGGAACAACACTGAACATTCTCCGAGATGTTATCCGTGTGCTGATGGAAGGTCATTTCCTAGGGCTGGGAGATGGGATTGAGAGCGTTAAGTTGGCTTTTGAAGACAGCAGGGCCATGTTGACCTTCGTATGATAGAGTAATAATGTAATAGAATGGTATAATAAAAGTATGGCATAAACCCCACCTAGGGGAGAAATGTCTGGAGATTCCCCACCATCCGGGGTCATGGTGGTCCCCAGAGTGTTTCTCCAAAAGCCAACTGGACTTTTCTTGTTTTATTTCCTTGGCAAAACGTTTCTTCAGTTCTAACTGCAAGGAATAGAGATCCTTCCATTCCCCACCATTCAGCTGGAACTGAAGAAGCTTCTTGGAGGAGAAGCAAAATGTTTTCAAGGAAAAAATACAGTTGCCTTTTGGAAAAGATTTTGAGCCTCTAGAAAGAGTGCAGAGAAGAGCAACCAGGATGATTAGGGGACTGGAGGCTAAAACATGAAGAAAGGTTGAAGGAACTGGGCCTGGCTAGTCTAGTGAAGAGAAGGACCAGGGGAGACAGCGGTCTTCCAATATTTGAGGGGCTGCCAAGAGAGGAGGAAGGGGTCAAGCTATTTTCTAAAGCACCTGAAGGCCAGACAAGGAATAATGGATGGAGTCTGAACAAGGAGAGATTCAACCTGGAAATGAGGAGAAACTTTCTGACAGTGAGAACAATCAACCCATGGAACAGCTTGCCCTCGGAAGTTGTGGGAGCACCATTATTTGAGACTTTCAAGAAGAGATTGGACTGCCATTTGTCAGAATTGGTGTAGGGTCTCCTGCTTGGCGGGAGGTTGGACTAGATGACCTACAAAGTCCCTTCTAAGTCTATCTGTTATCTGTAAAAGCACCTTTGGGACCTCCAGAGGAGAAACCCTGGGTTTGCTATTACAAGCTCCTTTAGTGCTTTCACAACACTAGTTGCCAAGTGTCAAGAATGCATCATCATAGATTGTTGTGAGCCCACACACATCAGCATTGTGCATTGCTCCCAACTTTTGTCTTCCAACTGGAGGGGTAGAAGCCTCCTCAGTGCCTCCTACCATCCCCTACTGAGGTTCAGAAAGCCATTTAGAAACCACTCTTAGAAAGACGGTTCCAGGAGGAAATTAGACTGGATCTTAAGGGACAATATTTGTAGTTCAGGGTTGACATGAGGGTTCCTTGGTGCTCTCTGAGCTTGGTGGTTTTCTTGCAGACATTTTATTATCCAAACTAGGTTACAGCATCAGCACTGATGATATCTAGTTTGGGTAATGAAACACCTGAAGGAAAAAACCAAGCTCAGAGAGCATCAAGGACCTTCCAGGCTGGATCTTCTACCCTCCGCCCATTTGGAATGGCTTGCTAATCAGAAGAGTTGATTTCCCTAGAAAAGGAAACTATTTTAACTTGAAAAGCTATGCCATCCATGTAAATTGCAGTGATGTTAATTTAATGTGATAAGACTTTTAGCACACCCCATTCGTGTGTGGGGAGGGCTCTTGGCAGTTTATAGTACAGGTAGTCGTCAACTTACAACTGCAATTGCACCTAAAATTGTTGTTAGAATAGAACAGAACAGAACACTTTATTGGCCAAATGTGATTGGACAAGGAATTTGTCTTGGTGCAAATACTCTCAGTATACATAAAAGAAAAGATACATTCGTCAAGAATCATAAAGTACAACACTTAATAAAACCCATAGGGTACAATAAGCAACCAAATCGTACCAGGAAACAGTCAGTTTATGTTGCTAAGTGAACCGTTTGTTACGTGAATTTTGCCCCATTTTATGACTTTTTTTGCCCCAGTTAAGTGAATCTGTGCAGTCGTTAAGTTAGGAACACGGTTGTTAAGAGACAAAAAGGGAGCACATGACTCCCAGGACACTGCAATGGTCATAAATATGAATCGGTTGCCAAGCACCTGAATTTTGATCACGTGACCTTGGGGATGCTGCAATGGTGGTAAGTGTGAAAAACAGTCACAAGTCACTGTTTTCAGCACTGTGGTAACTTTGAACAGTCATTAAATGAACTGTCGTTAGTGGAGGATTACCTGTTGTAATCAACATATGGAAGGGCACGAAAAGTTATGCTTTACCTTAGCCTCTCCATTGCTGGGTAGTGAAAAGTCAGTTTGAAGAAAAAGAACACCTTATATAAATTACAAACTCAGCTGAAGAAGGTCTTGCCCAGCTTCTGCTCAGATGGCAAGATGTAACTTTGGGAGTCTCCCAAAAAAAAAGATAAGATAAATTTTCAGCTGAAACAGATAGAATAGATAGATAAAATTCTTTTTATTGGCCAAGTGTGGTTGGACACACAAGGAATTTGCCTTGGTGCAAATGCTCTCAGTGTACATAAAAGATACATTCGTCAAGAGTCAAGGTACAACACTTAATAGTCATAGGGTACAATAAGCAACCAAATCATACTAGGAAACAGTCAATATAGATTGTAAGGATACAAGCAACAAAGATACCGAAAGCTTCCATCATTTAAGCCACTGAGTCATCCATGATAGGAAGCCCATGGTGTGTGAAAGATGTAGAACTGCAAGATCCTTCGCATCCTGTTGTTTGGACTCATTTCTTCCATTTCCTTCTTATTGTCTTATAGGTACTCCAAAAAGCATAGATTTCAATGAGGTGAAGACCATCCTGCTGTCCATAAGTGGCGTGAAAGCAATCCATAGCCTCCACATCTGGGCTCTAACAGTGTCTCAGCCGGTGCTGTCAGTCCATATCGCAATCAGTAAGTCACATGATCGTAAGGCAAGTTTAGAATTTGCATCATTCTGGAACAAGGATAATATACCCAGACACCCAAAATAACTATAGTTCAGTGTTTCTCAACTGTAGGAACTTGGAAATGTGTGGACTTCAATGCCCCAAATTCCCCCAGCCAGCATGCAAATCCACATCTCTTCAAGTTGTTGAATTATCGAGTCATGCCCACTTTAATGACCTGTTTTGCCACGGTTTTTAAATCAAATTATGGCAGTTGTTAGGTGGCTTAGTGGCTAAGACACTAAGCTTGTTGATCAGAAAGGTCGGCCGTTTGGTGGTTCAAATCCCTAGCACTGTGTAATGGAGTGAGCTCCCGTTACTTGTCCCAGCTTCTGCCAACCTAACAGTTCGCAAGCATGTAAAAATGCAAGGCGGGACCACTTTGGTGGGAAGGTAACAGTGTTCCGTGCACCTTCAGCATTTAGTCATGCCGGCCACATGTCCATGGAGACGTCTTTGGACAGCACTGGCTATTCAGCTTTGTAACGGAGATGAGCACCACCCCCTAGAGGCAGGAATGACTAGCACGTACATGTGAAGGGAACCTTTACCTTTACTGCAGTTGTTAAGTGAATCACATGGTCATTAAGCGAATTTGGCTTCCCCTGTTGACTTTGCTTTTGGAAGCCTCCTGGAAAGATTTCAAATGGCAGTCATAGGACCCCAGGATGCTGCAACTGTCATAAATACAAGTTTCCAATTTTTGATCATGTCACCATGGGGATGCCATAAAAGGTTGTAAGCATTAGACCTGTCTGTAAGTCACCTTTTCGGTGCCATTATAACTTTGAACAGACACTAAGTGAATGGTTGTAAGATTATGATGGTGAGAGTTTACCAAGAATATTCCATAAATGTTTCTCTAAAGTTAGCAAAATTAAGCTTTTGTGATGACCTGTAGTCTCTCAAAATAACCCAAAACCCAAAACATATATTAAAGTCCGGTAAAGCCTTCAACTTAACTTCACTGTTTTATTAGGCACAGTTTAAAGTCACAAAAGTAAATAATGTGGCAAACAGAAAACCAAAACAAACCGCATTGATGAGAGTTCTGAAGCAAGCCGAGATAACTAATCATAAACTCCAGAAAAATAACCGAGAAAAGTCCATGGGAAGAACGCCAGCAAAGATAAACCTCTTTCAAGGTGAACACTAATTGACTTCAGCAATTCTAACTGTGCAGTTGCAAACTTATATACATAGCTCCCACCTGCAAGCCACGAGGAGGATCATGGTAATCTCTTGAGTAGACCTCGCTTTTCCCTGATCCTCTCCTCCCTGCATGACCTAGGATGGATAGGGGATGGGCCTGGATCCTCCTCTGACTGCTCAGCCGGCCTCTGCCCTTCCCCAGCCTCCTCTACCATCTCTGGAGCCACACTCCCACTCCCTGTTGGCTGTTCCTCCTCTTCCTCAAAGTCAGACTCCACCAGGGGCATGACAGCTTTACTTAAAGAAAACTGTCTTGATGGACTATTGGAAGTTCCTCCAGCCTGAATCGGTTAGGGCTGTGCACTCTGTGGACATTATTCAGAATTGTTTTGAACCTCACCTAAGACTTATTAAAGAAGGGCCACTTTTTAAGCTTCTGCCCAAGGTTGGAAAGGCAATTCTCATGAGGTGTGTCAGATTATGCCTGAATAAAGTTGTGTGGCTGTTAAGAACAGCAATAGCACTTAGACTTACATACCATTTCACAGTGCCATACAACCCTCTCTAAGCAGTTTACAGAGTCAGCCTATATAATCTAGGTCCTCATTTTACCCACCTGGGAAAGATGGAAGGCTGGGTCACCTTGAGCCTGGTGAGATTTGAACTGCCAAATTGCAGTCAGCCGGCAGTCAGCAGAAGTAGCCTGCAGTACTGCACTTTAACCACTGTGCCACCGTGGCTCTTCTCTAAGACTATTAGAGAAGTGCTGTGCTTGCATTTCCATAAGACCTAAAGCAGTTTTTCCAAATAATTTTCGAAGCCTTCCCAGACTAAATTAGGACCATCCTTTTCCATTCTTGAGTGCTGGCTTTTAAAAGGGGAGGAGGCTTCAATTTCCCCACCATCTCCAATATTTGTCCTTTAGCTTTGTCATTTTTGTCCCAGATAAAGATGCTGATGCCCAGACTGTCTTGAAGGAAGCCAGCTGCCAACTGCAAAAAGCTTTTGATTTCCACACAACAACAATCCAGATAGAAAACTATTCGGAGGACATGAAGGATTGCCAAAAATGCCAGAGCCCCACAGACTGATCCACTGTTGCCAAGTAAGCTGGATATGGATGTCCAGCCATGTTAAAGCTGCTACCTCAAAGTATCCTAAGTGTAACCCTACTTACTGACTCTTTGTGGCTAAATCCTTCTTCTGGAATCATCCAATTGAAAGTGCAATTCTTAACTTGTTTGAAATGAAGCCAAAAGCTTTCTTTTCCTCCCTCCCTCCCTCCCTCTCTCCCTCCCTCCCTACTCCCTGATTTATAACAGAATGGCAGGAATTTCTTGTCTGTTTATGTTGCCATGGTATCTGCTTTGTGCATCATTCCATATCTGCTTACTAGACAAGCATCTCTCAAGTTTTAATTTCAGTCAATCAGCACAATCTTATATTCACTAGTTTTAGAGGTCTCATTACCATTCTAGAACTAAAACATGCCAGGCTAGGACCATTTTAAAACAAATATAGCACTGTCTATAATACCTTAGCCATCTCTTTGTGATCCTAGGATAAATGGACTTATTTGGAACTGATAAAATTTAATATTAATACTATAGAAAAGTGAATTAAAAATAACAAAAAATTAAGAAGAAAGCGATACAGAGCACCATCTAAGGGTTAAAGACTTCCTTCTTTTATGTTTCTATGGAAAATTACTGGTCATATAGAGAAGAAATGGAATAAAAGATTATTAATATAACAAGATCCTCAGAAGCTTTATTAAAAAAAAGAAGGGGGAGATTACAGTTAAACATAAAAGAATACAATACTTTGAGACTGTCAGAGGTTGATTGTGACAAGAAAACAGAAGAAAGAGAAAGTGAGATAAAAGGAGACTTTTGACAAGGATTATAGCAGAAAAACTTGACTTTAACAAAATAAAGAATAACTTAATAGACCAAAGAAATGGAAGAAATAAGTAAAGAATTAAAGTCGGAGCTCCAAAATGAGAGAGAGATGATTAAAGAAAGAATGAAACTGGCGGAGTTAATGCTGAATAAAGTAATGGCATCACGGCTCGCGGAAGAACAAAGGAAGCTCAGAGACGATGAAAATAACAGCCTTGATGAACATGAAGAACAAGGACCATTGTCAAAAATGGCTGACAGGCAGAGGGAAACAAAAACAGAATTAGAAGGGAAAAAGAAGGAAGATTGGGGAAACTTAGAAAAGGGAAACCTAGCCAAAATTAAAAGGAATGATAAAGTTATGAGATTTAGAGATAAGGGTTAGGGATTGTATAAAGGGGATTATATAAACAAATGTATGTGAATTATGCTGTTATGCACCCTTATATTGGAGGATTAAAAATGAGATATATTAAGAAGCTATTTTAGCAACTTCAGGGGGGGAGACCTTAAAATATATATGTTTTAAAATATACAGTTGATTATTTAATGTTAATATGTTTAAAGTTGGGGAATGAATTATTAAATCAGATAGACTGAGGGGATATACCATGTGGATCCTAAATATATTGGTTTTTATTTTTATTCTTTCTAGATTGTTGATTATATAATTGGCCTAGGAAAACTTTAGGATAATAATGATGTGTAATGTTGAATAAAATAGGTGGTAAGCTGAAAATGGAAATAATAGGGGGTACATACATACATACACATATACATATATATACATACATACATATACATATACATATACATTCATCTAAATGTGGATGAAATGATATTGATATTGAATTAATGAATTTAAATATGAAATGGAAACTTATTTAAAGATGAGTGAAATGGACAATGATATGAGATGATATTATATAATATTGGTGGAAATGAAAGTATGATTATGTACAAGTATTATAATCTGGAACCATGTTGCCCACGTAAAGAGATGTGTAAAATTAAAAACTAAAAAACTTTTTGGGGAAAAAAAAGAAAGGTTGAAATTTACATTGTCTTCTGATCTTAAAGAGAATTTTTATAAAATGATGTACCTTGGTGTACAATGCCGAATAAATTATCTAGAAGGCATTTCAAATGTATGTTGGAAATTTGAAGGGACATTTTGTCACGCTTGATAGACATGAAAAAGCTAAAAAAAAGTTTGGTCTCAGACACATTCTTTGATACAGAGGATTTTAAATTTTAAAAATTAAAAGTTTAATTGAAGCCAGAGGTTCTTCTTTTATTACATGGATAAAACAGAAAGGAGCTATTGCAGTTAAATATCATTCTGAAAAAAGGGGTAATGTTTGGATTGTGTACAGGTAGGCTGCGACGTACAATCATAATTGAGCCGAAAAGTTCTGTTGCTAAGTGAGATACTGAGTTTTGCCCCATTTTACGACCTGCTTCCTAAACCTTGTGCATCTTGTGCATCCTTCTCAATAGGATTACAGTAAGAAAATGGCTTTTGTTAGACTTTGATCCCAGGGCTCTTCATACCACCCCGCATTGATCTTTCCCCAGATTGTACATGCTTCTTAGATTATCCAACCACCATTTTGCTAAAATAGCAGTAACGAGCAAATTTTCTATCATTTCACCCACAGTGAAGCTATGAAGATGCTATAACCACTAGGGGGAATTCATTATCACCCAACCATTGTTGGCAAAATATAAAACCTGTCCTCATAATTATTAGCTCAGCCTAATGGAGGTTGGATGGCTTCACATCCTGTCTCACTGCTCTAATATTACTTGGAAAACTGAAATGACAGCTGTTAACACATCATAGCATGGCTTCTCACAACAATGGGTAAGCCAGTTACTATGTCTGTGTGAATATACAGTTTGGGCCCCTGATTTGAAAACCATTTGATTAAATCTCTACTTTGCTTTTGAATGAAACTGGGAAGTTGATTCAGGCAATTGAATTAGCTCCGAATTGATACAGACAATTTCAATCATTTTTGTATATGCACGCTAATGTTCTTTTTTTCCAACTGATTCAGGAATCCAGATCCAATAAGTGGGTTTGGGCAACTAATTTGAACAATCTCTCCAAATGATTTTTTTCTATTCAATTGGGAATAGTTGAGTTGGATTCATTTTGGAGTTGATGACTGAAATCAGATTGTGCATGGCTTGTGCAAGCCTATGGACTACAAGAATCACATTTTTTGATCTTCTCATCACTTCTTATCGCCCATCCCCTCCCACTTGTGACTGTATGACTGTAACTTTGTCGCTTGTATCCTTACGATTTATCTTGACTGTTTCCTAGTATGATTTGATTGCTTATTGTACCCTATGACTACCATTAAGTGTTGTATCTTATGATTCTTGACTCTTGACGAATGTATCTTTTCGTTTATGTACACTGAGAGCATTTGCACCCAGACAAATTCCTTGTGTGTCCAATCACACTTGGCCAACAAAGAATTCTATTCTATTCTATTCTATTCTATTCTATTCTATTCTATTCTAT